TTTGGACACTGGTTAGATATCAGTTTGACCGCTTTCAATTTAATAGCCAATGTTTCACATGCCCAAAGTTATTTCCTCAAATGAGAGTTATACTGCAAATAGCAATAATTAAATAATAATGATAAACGTAGGCTTATTTATTTCATGAACATTAGTTATTCTGGAAGGCCTTCCCAGAGAACTGACAAGCAATTCAGTTGTGGTGGGGATTAAAGGCACTCAGTGTGAGGCAGCATGCAGCTCAGTTTTCAGTTTTTACAACCCTTATCTATGTTTATTCGTGCGGTAGTTTTCGTTACTGCCTATTGACTCTCCATTGGGATTCAGAAGTAGAGGGAAGATTGGAATATTGAATGCAGTGGGAAGGTGAAAAGAGACAATCAGAATGATCAATGTTTCAAAGACGGTGAGTAGATGCACGAGCGACATTGTTTACGACGCTCAGCCGTATCAGCCAGCGTATCAAATCATCGGGTTATCAATGTGCACAAAGTTCATATTGTTTGTTCATGGCCAAGTTTGAAGTGCAAAACTGCTCACTTTCAGGACAGATTCCATGCACAATTATGTTCAAGGCGAAAAAATTTGGTAAACGTAACTGAGTATCAAGTGGCAATAGTATATCGACAATGTTTGTTCGATTCGAAGGTTTTCAATCTTCTAACTGTGTCTTATATTTATTTGCATGCAGGAAAGGATCCCTACCTACGCGANNCGCGAGACATTGCTTCGCGTGACACAACTGTACTACGCGACAAGATACGGGAGCGATCCGGACCACGAAATTCTCGATCATCACCACCACCACACACGAAGCGGTTGTCCCAAGACACAAGTGTTGGAACCGATCGGCACTCCGAAAATTGGCTCAACCTTATTCCCGACTTGTAAAGAACAACAATTATCAGCCAATCAGCGAGGACATATCGACCAAGAAGTGCGTTCGTTTGTCGAGAATAATTCAATAAATTCACCTGCTACAGATAGGATAAACTACATTGGGATTAATCAGTCAAGTCCGTCACATACTGTTGAACAGAATGTGTCCTCGATACCAGAAGTCGTATGCGTTCATTCTCCAGCGCCTGTTCCTCCTCAAACACGATCACCTCCATTGCCACTGCCGATACCACCACCGTCACTGTCACAACCACCACCGACGCCAGCTAGTCCTTCTGTTCCATTGTTTCTGCATCGAAATTATTCCAACAATGGACACGGACAATGGAACGACAGTGTTAGCAATTTGTCACTTATCAATCGTTGGCAAGTGATGAGTGCCTCGTGGATTCGAGAAGTCAGATCCACCAATAACAATCTCGCTGATTCGATTTTGCACACTCCGTTACCCGTTTTACAATTTCCATTCTATTCTTCATTGAATGATCCAAACGGGACAGATAAAAAAAACGTGTGCAATACCAATAGGCCGTCACCATGATCTGTCGGGGCTAGCGAGGAAACAGCAACAAAAAGTACGTCGTGTAACTCATTATTTGGCTCGCAAAACTGACATGAACACGGACAGATTAACAAACCACTCAAAACATTGTGATTCCATCAATTGCCGATCTAAAAATATAACGCTCATCTGAGTATCCCTTCTCATTCCTGTGTTTCTATTCTCCACTACATAGATTAGGGCTTGGGTCAGTTGTGCTACAGCCATTAGAAGGAGTCAGATTTTCTGACCAAAACATTGGAGGAAGACTACCATTGACCACGGGAACCGACCTGATCTGAGTTGTTCATTGTTTACCAGTTCCAATATTGATATAGTTCTGATAGAACTTCGCCGGTATACGGGGACACTGATTTGTGCAAATTGATACGGGATAACCTAGTAGCGATGCAAATAAGCTTAGGATGTTTTGTAATGTTTTTTGTTGTTGTATGCTTCAGTGTGATAAGCTGTCGAAGGGGATGAAATTGTGGTTCCCGTTTGGCAATCGGTAGACTAAAAGTGAAGAAGTGAAATGACGAATTAGATAAGCCTTCACCGGGTAGGTGGAGCTTTGAACAGCGGTCTGACTGGAAACTGTGTGTAGCACAAAAACATCAATTTCAACACGAAAAACTATCCTGGATGCTTTATTTTTGTAACCAAGAAAAAGGTCAATTATTTAGAATCGTATCACTTCCAGGGCTATGGGGTAAAACGATTGAGGAAACATGGAAGCTTTGAGATGAATATTTTACTTTGGGAAATCGTCTTCTCTGACGCACAGTTGCTCCACCTAACCGATTAACGGGTAGACCTACTCGGAACTCCGTAGATAGTTTCTTGTTGACAATTTATTTAATCTCATAAAGTTCAAACTACATGACGGCGCGAACTCGTAATACCTGCAATGCCATAGTTCTGTGGAACGCTTAGAATCAGGTGATTGGAGTTTTCCTAGTAAGCAGATAAGAATGGCAGGCATATTTGTGAAAAAAATCAACAATTTGGTATTTTTGCAATCAACTGTAAGGTAACATAATGTATTTATAGAATCCCGTACAAACGTTATTTATTTATTTATTTACAAACAGACGTGGTACGTAACGCGCATAAAATGAATATTTCTGGGCCAGTAACCCGTTTGTTCTCGTCGGACTATTATCGTGTTGTCCAATCTTTTATGCTTCAATCCCAGTGAGCATGGGGTGTACAGTTAAGATATACTGGTTTATGTTACCAATATGACCAGGACATTCAAAGTGAGTGTGACTGGAAGTGTATATATTTCATTGGGGCGAAATAGTTCTCAATCACATTGAGATCGAAGCTCCAAGCCAATAACTACGTACATTTGTCCTTAAACAAAGTCATCGTTTTACAGCACCGAACTATTATTATCCTGAAGAATGATCAGCTTAAAAGAACAGCGTTTACAAATGCGCATAAAAACCACCATTTCAAGTATCTTTTTCAAAATTGACACTATGTTGGGGCTCTTGATCAGGCATACTTTGACATGACTACAATTAGGAATTTCTAGTGTTTAATCCCTGGAGAAAATAAAACTAGCTGCGATGATAATCAAGCAGGAACAGTCGTTTCCTCCGGCAACCACAAAACGGACCTTTAAAGGTGGGAATTTTGAAAAACATCTACGAAAAATTGTCTCTACAACTGCGAGATGGCAATGCGCCTGAATGATGCACATCAAAATATCGCCCATCAGGTTGATACGCCACTTCATGCTTAAGACAAGTTGTAAAATGTACACACACACACACGCACAAACGAGACGTGTAAACCTTCTTCAGGTGACCGAAAATAATCCAGGTCCCGTTTTTTAGAAAGCTATGTTATTTGTATCGGTTTTGTGACGACAGGTGAACCACATCAATAAAAGTGCGTATGCAGTCAGGTCTACTGGGAGGAAATTTCTCATTAGACACCTTGATATGATAAACAGCAATACAGTGTAAACAGCTCAACCTCTAGACTTCATCTGCTTTTCGGTAGTGGGTACCGGTGATCTGAGCTGCAGTACCGGGAGTAGCGAATTGCGGGCAGGCAGGCAGGCAGGCGGGCGAGCAACTGACTCAAGTGTCACAAAATATCCATATACCGTCAAGCCGGCATTCAAGCAGTCAGCGGAACAATCAGCAATCCCAGCAACATGAATGCATGGCAAACGAATGAGTTAATTGTGGGCCGCGACGCTATCGAAGTCCAATCTATGGACACAAAGTTACGTCATCACAAAATAGTGTGAAATGCAATGCATTCCGTACGCTTCCAACTCGATGACATGTGGTACGAAATGTTGAATTGAGGAAAAAATTGTTCATGAATTGTTTGAATTTTGAGATGAACAACGACCACCAAACCGTTTTTCTCACAAAAAATTGTAACGCAGAAAGCGTAAAGATCAATACTATGGGTGAAAAACAGCAGTCCAATAAGATGACAATAGTCTCGAGCATTGTTTCAACTGTTTGGTGAATAGTTTGGGTGAAATTCCAGCACAGGTATTTTGCTTTAACATTGCAGTTAAGCAATTCGGGGATATGCTCCGTGACGTGAGCAACACATCAGGAAAACGTGATCATCATGATATTCAATTGATAAGAGACGTGAATTGATGATTCTGGAATGAGATTTTTGGAATTTTTCAAGTACCCCAGTGAGGACAACAGGAGCTCTAAATTCGATTATTCTGGTCCACATTTTCAAAGGATCACAAATAACCGTTCTAGGATTCCTAGAAGCAGAATTGCACTTTGTGGTTTTACGATTTTACGGGTATAAAATTAATAAATAATTCACAATTTCGTAAAATTCACGTATTGTCATACATGTTAACGGTCTTAAATAAGTGAAACAGGAATATTCTTTATCCAAATACATAATGATAATAAAATATCCCCTACAATTCTTAAGAAAAGAAAAAGCTGTCGAACAAAGAATGATCTAGGACACAAGTATCTTGGGAAACTGAAAGTGGCCAGCGATTGGATAGTGAATAATTTATTCATCATACAATGCCAACGTTTTACTCAATCCGCTTAACGGTCTTGTAATTAACTACTGATAGAAATCCAATGAGAGCTGCATCGTGTTCTATTGACCAGGTAGCCTGCTTTTATTACGTATGATACAACACTGCACCTTCAGGCGGAAGATGTTGCAGACTCGGTGGATATGCATCGGATGACAGTACATAATTAGGGCAATGATTACAGGCATTTTCAAGGTCACACGGGGATTTGTTTGAAACTTCCTACTCCAAGTTGAAAATATCGTCTCTACAAATAAGACCGTCAAACATCTCAACTCAGATTTACGTGAGATCAGTTTATGTAGACCACAGAGATCAAGGGAATCTGAAACAATCGATGTTGAGGCCTGATAACATGAGAACTGATTGTGTAACACAGATAATAGCATGTCGATTGGGTTCAGCTGAACGGGTTAGTCATAAAAGCATTTCATTTAAATGGTGCGCAGGTGCTGCCTCTTCGCTCTTCCCGTCTGTGATGAAACGAACCGTGGTGTCTCAAGTTCTGTCAGCCTGTTACATGCTCAGTTGGATACATTTTTATTCAGTTGTTGCCAGCTGAATGTAACATGCAGTTGTCACGAGAAATATCTATTCCGGGCATAAACTTGAAAAGCCTGGTCTGAGTAATCAGAAAAATAAATTAACATGTGAAACGGTTTTCGAGAGTTAGTTTACCTATGAATCAACGTGTCACGCTAATTCTAATTCTTTCAAAATAAACCGTTTCTCGTTCAGTTGCAGTAGCGGGACACAATTGGGAAGTTGTGGTTTAAAGAGTTGATTACTGTCTGCTGAGGTCACCTGTACATTTCACGGCAATGATGAATGAGCATTGTGTTTCACACAAATTTTGTGAAGTTATCAACAGGGAACTAATAAACATGGACATCTCAGTCATACATATCAAAGAACTCATACCCAAATGCACACGAAATGTACTATTTTCGCTTAATAACACATTCTACCGGTAAATTGATGGTGTAGTTATGGCTTCAGCCCTAGGATCTGTTCTTGCCGACAAGTTCATTCGCAAGTTAGAAAAAACTTCCTTGTCCACGGTTATTAGTTGTTTTGAATAATATCACCGGTTATGTAAATGATATCTTTTGCTTGCCTGAAAAGAACATGAATCTTGACCATATTGAGTCAGAGTTCAACGCAGCATATTTTTCAATTAAGTTCACAACTGAACCAGAGGAGAATGGTTGCCTCATGTTTTTTGAATGTTTATCTGACTAGCCGCCCAGATGGCTCTATCCAGAGCAAGGTATACCGAAAAGCAACAGGGATTGGACGGTACACATATTTTCATATATTGGTCTCGTTCTATCATAACAGTTACCTCATTCACTGTCTCCTACAGAGAGCAAGGCGCATCCGTTTAGATATTAC